TGTCCCCCCCCCCATCTCGACCTTTTTCACTTTGATGTTCCTTCCCATCTGTGAAGCCTGAAGTCGACTAAAGGGCTAATGATAACTATCAAAACGCCTGCCATTTGATATAAATAAATATTTTTTTTAGTTTTCGATTTTGCTCGCAATGAATGAATAAACAAGACAAAAGCCAATAGCACCTGCCAATTTGTCATCTATACGGATCTTTAAACGAATGAGTTAGAATTTCGCCAATTTTTAAATTGTACATGGTGGTGAATAACGTTGCATGACTTATGTTAGTTACAGCATTTAAGCACGCATTATTTGGTGGGATTGAAATAGCAAAAAATGTGTATATTGGAGTTCCCATAGCTCTATGGAAATCCAGTGTTATGGTCAAAGCATACAATAATCTCGTTAGTTTAATGGTCAGTGTTACCGTAACTAATAAAGCGCCTTTATAACTGAAGAAAATTTAGGAGCTACACTTAAGGCCCAACTAGGAGACCTGTCGAATTAAGCGAAGAGCCTAATGTCAATTAGGCAAATGCTGAGGAAGATTCATATATTAGACAAGAGGCGAATTTATTTATTTATAACAAATTGCAGGTGTTTTGATAGTTATCATTGGCCCTTTAGTTGACTTCAGGCTTCACAGAGGGGAGGAGGAGCATCAAAGTTAGTAAAAGTCGAGAGAGGGGAACAGAAGAGTGTTTTAAAGATGTAAGAGAGACAGACACAAAGGTAGATGAAAGGTGAAGTGAGTACTGTCGAAGTGGTCGAATATGACATACAGTGGGGTGATGCTAGTTTGAAGTGAGAAGTCAACTGCCGGTTAAAAGACTTTATTGCCGTATGATATACCTGCCCAGGGTGCACCACGTGGAGGTAAGTCTATCGCACACCCCACAAGAGGAGTATCGTTGTGGACGAAAGTTTCGATTTTGCAGAAGAAAATGTGAATTGCAGTGATTTTGAACTGGCAAAATGTCTTCCAACTTACTATTGACAGGAGTCATTGCAATGAGACTGTGTAAATATTTATCATATTGAGGTTGATTTGAACTCCCTTTCAAAAGCTACTTACCAATTCCCTTAATCAGTATTTGCGTAGGATGAGAAATTCACTATTTTTAAGCTGAGTTGTGACTAAGGCATCAAGTAACTTTCAAATTCACCTTGTTGCACTACTACCGGAATCCAAGATTTGAATGAAATTTTAGAAGTGAAGAGCACTCCGTCATGCTATTCCAGCTCTTATTCCAGCGGCGGTACTTCTCCGTTTCTCAATAAACTCCATCCAAACCGTAGCAGAGCACAAGGAGTTAACAAGAAAGAATTTAAAAGGTGCTAAGGTTGTGTTTACGCGGAGTTCCTACGTGGAATTTTAAATGTGCAGTTATCGCAATATTTGGAGCGAATGAAGCTTAAAGCTTCGTGAGAGGCAATCTGAGGTGGATTCAAAATTTGACGAAAGGTTTCACAATCTATTAAAACATGTTAATATCGCTATAATGTACATATATTAGTTGGACTATATTGCTTGGGGAAACGGAGGGGCAGCAGAATAGGATGTACTTGAGAGTGTGTTTATTTCCTTAGGTTTGACCTTGACTCAGTTCAAATTATAAAACTCAATCTTAACGTTAAGATTTGTAACTAAATTATTTTCATCCCCTTTCGAGTTCGAGGGTGAGATAGACATACTTTTTGACTACCTTTATCAATAATATATATTTATTTATATTAAATGGGAGGCGTTTGGTAGCTATCATTATCCCTTTAGTTGACTCTGGACTTCACAGAAGGGAGGAACATCAAGGTGAGAAAAAGTCGAGATGGTTTACAGAAGAGTGATTTACAGATGTAAAGAGACATACACAAAAGCACAGAAAGGGTGAGGTGAGTACTGTGAAAGTGGTCAAAGATGACATACAGTCGGGTCATGGTAGTCTACCTTTATCAATAATATAATTTGATTGATATTGAAGTAGCGCAGCTGAAATTAGAGCAGTTGTGATATAGACAAGACTTTTAATGTTGTCCTTTTAATAATGGGTTTGAATTGTTGAATTTTCAAAACTGGGCGGCAAAAATAATTTTCTTGGAAGAAGACAAAATCGATCAAGGCTTTGCTACCACTGAAAATACACCTATTTATCGACTGCTCGACTTGTTTTCACCCTTGAACATGCAGGGGGAAATCAGAGTTCTCATCAAAATGCATCCACTTAACAAACAATAAACTTTAATCATTTTCTACCTTAAAGATTAATTGTGAGAACTTTTCTCGAAAAGCAACCTTGGTTCCTCAATAATCTAATTAGAAGACAATTAATTGTAAGCGAGTACAGGACTCATTTTATACTATTAGGCACAAGTTCAATGTTCGCTATTTCCTTTTCAATAACCAATGCTGTTCAAAATTAAGTTCTTTTAAACGAAATGTTCGGTTATTACAAATATGAAATAATCGATATAAATTGGTCGATATTGAGGAAGAGAGTACTTCACTTGGTGCAACATTTGTTGACATATTCCCTTGAAAACCTTTTTGGCTTTTGATAACCAAGGCCGTTTCGTTCTGTCAGAGTTTGACATCGGTGAACCTTGAGTAAGAAATTGCTCTAATTGTCAAGTTTTTTATTGCGCGAAAAAGTTCATTTATTTACAATATCGTGCCCACTGATTTACTCGTTTGGGCAAGCGGTTGTAACAAATGTGTTACTTGGGTAACGGGATAAAATTTCGATGTCACCTTATGAAAACGGTGATTTCTCTAGAGCTTTGAAAGGAGTTAAGATCACCTTGACTTCAAAAATGTTAATCCTAGTGATTTTTAGAGTTTTCGATTGGAGCTAAGCTACCATGACAAGTGAATAAAATTGCTAATATGGTAGTAAATTTGAAATAAATCCACCTATAACCAAGCACTGAATATAGTGGGCATATTCTTGCACATTGATCTGGGAATCAAATTACGGAGATCGACCACAACAGCATCACAATGCGACTTCTTCGCTTTGAAAATATGTTCAACACAATGCACTTATATTCAAGTAAGGAAGGATTTGTGATATTCTGGCTTTATTTCCAGCTTTTTATTGACATCTTCCCCTCGTCCATTACCTCACTAGACTTGTCTATCATCCCCTTTTTTCAAAAGTTTACTATAACGAAATATTTTGCTGTCACAGAAAATGATAATGGGAACATTAATAATTGGTGGAAATTTTGCAAGTGATTATTCTTAACTTCAGTCAGTTCAAATCTGCCTGATAATGGAAAGATGGGTACTCTTAGCTATTACATTAAAGATCAATCAGGTAGTAAAAGTTTACGAAATGTCTCACAGTCGAAGACGGTTCCTCTTTGTTCAATAGTGGATGAAGCCCATTTTTCGCTAAGATATTTATCCTAATCATTATTCTAATTACACTCTTTAATCGATTTCTCTAACTTTGATTTCTTTGTTAAAACTTCGCCATTATAAAAATTAACCACTCGATATCTTGCCAGATAGCGCAAAAATTTCCAATGCAAATTCTTTTACTGCTGAGACCAAATTCAAAGATGACATCAAAAGTAGTAAACCTATAAAGAGAGTAGACAGTGCCTTAAGACAGGTAAATAAATGACCTCCATTAACTGTGTGCTTTGGTATGGTCAATAATACTAAGCATTGCAAAATGGCTGGCCATGAGCAAACCTGATTAAGCATTTGTTGAAACACGTTACCCTGGAATATAAGTCACATTTTACTGGCTGCTAGTCTCTTCTTTCGCTGCCTAAATGGACTAGATTTTTGCTAACCTCTCTCTCGCCTTCTCTGTCAATGCTTTCTAATCTTAGTCACTAGGCTTCACTTAATCTGTCATCGCGATTGAGCCTTATTCCATTCAGATAGTTTCTGGTTGATTAGTAGATAAGACAATGCTAGCAAAGGCCCAATGACTTGCATACTTCTCCTATTACTTTTGAAAGATAATAGTAAAATCACCGTTTTGTAGGCATACAAAGGCTCAGCTATTAAGCTTTGATTTCTCATAGCTACCACGCTATCGAATGCTTCCTTACGCAGGGTGAATCTAAATTCTGTCCTGAATTACGACCATAAAAGAGTTTTCTTGCTCTAAATGAAAATAAACCCTCTTTAAATGTGGGCTGAACGTGATTAAAAAAATTAAAACCTCCGCGTTTGAGACCTCTTCGTCAGTTTGCCCTATCTACTATTGGCTGCAAAACGTTACAAATTATTCAAAGATCCATGAGCGAAACTTCGAGCAAATCGGTTAGTTAGCGAGGTCTGAACAATGCAAGGCATTAACCTAATCAGAAATGAAGAGATCAGACCATGAATACGGAGCTTCAGGACAATAGATAAAATGAAACGGATTGCATTGCTTATAAGATATTCAAAAAGTCAGTCTTTCCACTACCATAATAAATTGCGAAATCCGAAATCCCACACTTATTACTCAATTCGATTCTCCCTTCCACCTCCCTCCCCCCCCCCCCCCCCCCCCCCCCACTTAGCAGACTATTTAATTAGTTCATGTCTCCGGATATATTTCCATAATTGGAACGTGTAAATCACCAAATTAGAGGTAATTTTATCAACGTATATGAAACTAAAAATAGGGTCGTTTAGCTAAAGAAATGTAGGTAATAAGATAAATGAGTCACGATAAAATTCATACTTAATAGATGAAAAATCGATCTATAGACTATTGTCTACGGCGAGGCAGTAACAGAAAGACTACGAAGCTGAAAAGCGGTCACTGCAATACAAGCCCCTAGTAAATACAGGACACGTAGAAGCCTGCTCATTTCAAGAATCGGAAAGGAGCTCGGCTGCATCTGATTGGCCTATTTGTACTGACCAATAGAATCACTCACGCTTTATTTGTGTCGTACACGTGTGTACCCGTGGCCACGGAACTTTACTACAATCAAAACGGCACAGTCACTACTCATCCAGAGCTCTTTTACTCAAAGCCTACGAAAACCTAACCATGGCAGCCTCTTTTACGAAAGTCGTTAACTGTGATAATCTTTGGCGACCTTGGTATATTATCCTTGTTACTTGCCTTCAGGCCTATATACTCTACTCGGGTATCGCTCGTTACATTGCTTTCAAGGAGGATTACTACGACCCAAAATATGGCGGAAATTGGAACTCTGATGCTCTAAATTTCTACCTCTCCATGCTTATTATTGGCTCATTTTTCGCTTGCCTATTTCTCTACACCTCCATTACTCGGGGATCGAATTTGGCTGGGGAGGGAATGACACTGGGCCAAGGAATGCCTGTTTGTTTTTCCCAACCCCCTAGAAATTACCCCTGGCAAGCACATCAAGCACCGCTATCTCAACAAGAGGGGAGCAATGCAGGTCTCTATGCTACCGCAAATGGAGTTCTAGGCAGGGGAAATTTGAGTGCGGGTTTGGGTCCAGCCGGGGAAGAGGATGGACTTCCCCAATTTGACACGTGGTCGGCCCGCAGTGCTCTCCACTTACCCCCTACTGATTTTTTCGGCTATCCCATCATCCCCTCGATGTTTCGATCAGTGATGTCAACTGGGGGCACTATAGCCACCGGAGCGAAGGAAGGAGGTTGGACATTACTTGGCAACTTGTGGAGACATTTTAAACGCCAATTTATTCCCACATCTTCCTTAATGCACATCATTTCTGCATATGCCTTCTTCCTCGCTTTACCGGTACTTGAAGCCCAGCGAATCAATCATCATGTTCTTCACTTTGGTGAGTTTACTGGGTTATTGTTTTTTTGGCTTTCTCTAATTGTATTAGCTACTCAGTATACTATGAGCACGGTTAGGTTTTAATGTTAAACTTATACCCGATTTTATCTATGTATTAATCTGTCTGTTAAGTAAGTAGGAAGTCTATTTAATTCACCAGCGGTGACAGATTTACATAGACTTGTTTGGGAAGTCTGTATTTCTTACAGATCTTTGTAGTATTGTGATGTCTTGTAACTATTTAGCCTATTTAATCGAAAAGACTACTAGTTAAAGTCCTTACCGAAAGGACTACTTCAACAGGAGTATTTATAGCTTTTAATGATAAGGGATTGGTTAAAACCACCTATAAATATAAACGCTTCTTTAGAAATCGGGCCTCAATTTATTTATGACCTGCATTTTGTATATAAATGTTTCACTAGCCGACCATACGGCAGAAGAATGTGTTAATATATTCCTCAGTATGTCAACTTCTCAGAGGTTGACATGTCTGTCTACGAAGTCGAGACTCGAGTTGCACTCATGAACTGGACTGATCCGCTGCACTGGATACGTCTGACAAATACAGGAGGCGTCAAGATTTGAATTTCTCATTCAGAAGACTCTGACGCTAACACTCTTAGTCCCTCCTCTTCCCACTGTGCATGATAACTATTGCCGAAAAAAGTGGCCTTTAAATGGGATTTTGAGTTACGATATTTTCTTAAGCAAATAGGCATTTGCAATTCACTTTCAATGCCATTGGAGTGACCACTTCCAGCGGTATCCTTGTTGGTTTAGGGTATTAGAAACTTGCAAGGCCATTAGGATGGAAATGGCTTGTCTTAGTAGTATTCACAAGCTAAGAGTTTGTGTAGTTAGTTCATATTAACTTTGCCAAAACGTGTAGAGTCGAGCTTTGAGGAATGTCAGATAGTTTTTTTCAGTTTACATGGACTTTGATCTATGAGTTGTACTTAGTATGTCAGTTTTCCTTGGAGGTTGTTAAAAAAGGGAGTTGTAAGAAGGTGGGAGGGGGTGGGGTGTGGGAAATCCCTAATCTATAATATGGCAATTTAATTAAAAGAAATATTTTCCTCATTTATTGCTTAACGCTTACCACTTTGACAAGGAGAAGTGACAAGTTTAATGAACTGTGGGAGTTGAGCAATGAACCCTTTCTTATTTTTGGCCTTGAGAATGGAGAGTCCAATTTCGATGTCAGTATTTAAAATGAGTCATAGATTTGGAGACCAACCTTTAATTACCCCCCCCCCCCCCCCCCCCCCCCCCCTCCCCTCCGCAACCCCAACCAGTAGCAGACATTGGCACTTTTGAAAGGAGTTATAAACTGATTAACTCAAAGCAACAAATACTGCTGGTTGGCATGGTGTTAAAAGATAGGGCAGCGCTAGTCTGAAATAGCTGCTTGTGACGAATAATAGTTCGCTAAATCCAATTAAGAGAGGTGTATTCAATGTTGTGTTCTCAGGGGAATACAAACTTGTTTTGAAACTTGAGATTACGAAATTACCAATGGATACAAGTTTTTGTTCTTCAAAATCAAAATCATCAACTCACGTCTAGGTGCCTTCACAGGGGAATTGTGATTTTACTGAATGCTTCCAAATTTTCAAGACATTTAGGCCTTATGAATAAATTGATGCCAGTCGCAACTTGATTTTAGGCTTATCATCTCCCAGGTCCGAAATCCACTTCCCTTTCATCAAATGGTATAATATTGAAGGCTGTATGTTCAAATCATGGATTGTTGAACCGAATTCTAGCTCACTCTGTAGCCCAGGGAATCTTTGAAACTTTGTCAGCTTTAAGTGCACGTTTTTTTCCTTTCTTCGGTTAACTGGAGGTTTAATGGTTAATAAAGTATTTAATTGGTATAAAACAAATAACAACGACTCTTCTCCTTCAGTTATCTATGAATTCTAGATATAACCAGTCATTAAACCCTTGGTTAACTGAGGACCCGACGATCGTGGGTATAAATGTGCATACCGCTCAACCCTTTGTCCTGAGCAGTTTCTACATTCCAGGACTTCAAATTTCGAATTTCACGTTGCCCCTCCTTCACTAAATGGAATGCTAAAAGATGCACACGTTTCCGTTGTTGCGTATTTGAGAATGTATGATCAAATGGAGTTCAAAAGACATTGTCACCACCTCTGCATTAATAATTAATATTAGTGTAAAAACACTACAAGGTGGGTTGAGAGCTCATATAAAGATTCTACTTGAGTCGAGTAGTTGGGCGAATGTGTCCAGCCTATGTCCTGGATGGACGGGAATTTAAAGCGGACTTTACCGGTCCAATAGCATGTTCATTCAGTTGTTGCCACCAGTGCCAAAAAATTGAAGGATTCCAACTGGAATCCTCTCAAACATTTGAGTAAGGAAGCATCTCACCTAGGTGATCATACATTTCGTCATCTCTGAACAGAGGCGGGAAGAGTGGTAAGGGCACCTTGATGAGAAATCTATACTCTGTCAACCATCTCTTCCATTTTAAACAAACAATAATAGTCGTTCATTTTATGGTTATCGATTCCGTGATTACTAACTTAACAGCATTTCATGTTAAAATTTTCGTTGGACGCTTATGCCAACTTATTTTTCAATAAAAAAATCCCATTTATTATTTATCCTAGTTATTGAAATTCCAACTGCCTGCTTTGAACTGGCCGTTTTCCATGTGTATGCTATTTTCAATTAAACCAAGACAGTATTACGGTAATCAAGGCTAGAATAACAATGCCACATGCCGATTAGAATGATCTGCTGCAGTTATGAGTGCTTATTCTGGCTGAAATATCTTAATATCAGTGTGTGTGTGAGGTCTTCTTACCCAATAGTTCATTTAAAGATTGTGTCAGTAAGGCACGTTCGACAAAAGGAGAATTCGACGTGTATGCTTTACGGTAACCCTTTAATGTTCGAATAATATTTTACAAAATGCACCCAACCAATGCCACCGACGTGGTGAATATTGGTGATATCAGACGACGGCTATAGACGTATTGAGCATGCTTCAAACGCCAATATCACCTTCTGTAACGAGTCTAGTACTAATGGAGCTTATTTCGAAAGAGCGCCGTATGGCCCTGAGGGCGTTCAAGAGTTTGGCTATGGATGCTGAAGTTTGCTACTGGTTAGTATTTCCTGTATTCGCTAACACCACCAAAAACCTGTTTGAATATGTAGAAATCTGGAAATGAAACTTTTAACGTTTACCTTCTACTTTCAGTTTATTATACCGGTTAACTGCCAAGGGCTAAAGCTTCCGTCACTTCCCTCCCTAGGAGGGAGGGGGGGGGCAATCAATTTCTCTTTTTCTGTTTGCAGTCGTGTCCTCGGTGAAATCATAAAAAATAATTTTCAAAAAAGGCCTTTTCTCAAGGAAGTCGCTCTTCTTGTTACATTAAAGTGTCATGAAATCGGTTAAGGGTGAAATATTGTCTAGGTCTTCTGGAAACCCTGGATCTATCAGACTAACATAAATGTCCACCAAATGCGTTAGTGGCTTATCGGTTACTATCTTTATCTTACAAGTCAGCGGTGTGTACTCAATGGTATATTAAAAACAGATGGCAGAATGTATTTATTTATTTCAAATGGCAGGCGTTTTGATAGATGTCATTGGCCATTTAGCTGACTTCGAGCTTCACAGAGGGAAGGTTCATCAAAGTAGCAGAAAGTCGAGTACAGAGGGAAGATTAATCAGAGTAGCAGAAAGTCGAGGGGTGGGGAAGAGAAGCTCATCAAAGTAGCAGAAAGTCGAAGGGTGGGGAACAGAAGGAAGTAGCAGAAAGTCGAGGGGCGGGGAACAGAAGAGCGATTTACAGATGTAAAAGAGGCACAGACACAAAAGTAGAGAAAAATGTAAGGTGAGTACTGTGGAAGCGGTCGAATATGACAACCAGGGGGGTCGTGGTAGTTTGAAGTCAGAAGTCAAATGCCGGTTAATAGACTTTTTTGCCGTAAGATTATACGTTGCCCAGGGTGCACCACGTGGAGGTAAGTCTATCGCACACCCCAGATGGCAGAATGTGAATTTTTCAAAGCATCGGCTCCAATAAACCCACCGAAAACGTGTCTTATAAATATTTCCCATTAGTGGGCACGGGAAGCATTGATAAGAGGATTTGAGATATTTATTTATTTTACTTCAGTGTTAAATGATTAATTGCGAATGAGTAAATGACCATTTAACTAGACATAGTGACTTCTAATTCTCAAACCTCCATTTGTATGCAAACTTTCATCCATTTTTTACAAACGGAACTTCTTTGTCCTATCGTTAGTCATTGTGTCCGAGTCTTCAGTTTGTTTAGGTGTGTGGGTGAGAGCACTCACAACACCATTCTCCAAATCTGATTCGTTAATTTTTCAGAGGGCTTCTTAGGGTAATAAGTAAAAAGACATTATTGGATTTAACCTTCACCGATTCCAGTTATTTCACCAGAAGTGGCTCCAGGAATCTGTCTAGCAATGCTTAGATGTTCAAAAGCCAAATTTTCATCAATTAACCTTCCAAATTTTCACCCAAACAAACGTAAGTACTTAGAAAGTCTTGCTAATGATAAGCTTAGGATATTCGAAGCCGAATTATCTCAAGCTAATTTTCCGTAGAATTGACTTCTAACTTGTACATTTTATGAAAAAATAATTGACTTATAAACCAGGAACTCTACCTTTACTCTTTTCAATAATTCTATTCTCCAATCAACATTTTCCGCATGCATTGCTAAGAAGAGCCTTTCCATTTCTGTCCTCATTATTTGATACATTTGGAACATAAAGGTATTTGGATATTAATAAATTCCAAATTTACCTGCGACTTTAGAATAACCTATTCATTTTTTTCTGTCCTTTCGTGTTGTAGAAAATGTTTTGGGAAGCAATCTGAATCTAATTCTACGCGCCTCACCAGCCAATGCAATGTCCCTGGAATACTTTAATCTCCTCTTTGCTTTCGCTGCTCTGGCACTTCGATATCCAGCCATTTTCTGGCAGACCAACCATTGTTTCGCCTTCACATTCTCCCTCCTCCTCGTGATTCTTGGCATTCAAGGCCTCTTAGAAATCAGCACAGCAGAAGTGATCGTCAAACTCTGCTGGAATAAAAAGGATCTAGCTCCCTCTTTGGCTGGTCTCTGTCGAACAGCAACTTCTGAACCCGCTGAAACGCATAAGAGTATTCCCGAACCAACAGGTTTTGATGACCCAGAAGGTCTTAATAACGCTAAAGCCCTATTTCTATCCACAGTTGCAACTTTCATTTTGCTTCTTCTGGTAACCTGTGTTTTTGACTATGGAGTGGACCAATTTGTTGACAGACTAATAGCTCTAAGACGTAGTGCAATCTTTGGAGCAACAACTCAAGATGTTGCGCCGTCCGAAACAGCATCAATTCGAGGTGTAGGGGTGTGTGGATTGAAGACTGAAGGACAGAGAAGTCGTCAAAGAGCAGTTTTATGTAGACGGATGATTGCGGTCCTGGGAGCAGTCTGTGTATTGGCTATCAAGATGCCTATTCTTATTGCTTCGGGGAGGGCATTTGAAGTTCACAGACATCCTCTACTCCTGGCGAATATTGTCGCAACGGTGTTCTTCTTTTGTGCCTGGTATATCACGTGGTTCGCCTTCTGTCTCAAACCCGAG